ATAAGCCAATAAAAAAGAAGATCTATCCTGGACTATTTCTGACAGTTCAAGGAAAAGATTTTATTTTCATAAATTTTTCAGCCAATCTTGATAATTTCCGATCGAAAAYAAAAGTTTTTTAAGTATTTGTGGCCAAAGCTATATACAGGAAATCGGAAAAGTCAACAAACTTCCAATGATGGCGCGGTGATTGTCCAAGGTTATCTTCTCTGACTTTCTTTGCTCTATGGTCCACAGCTATAGAACATTCGTTCGCACATCCTAGATGTTATACTAACTTTGTGCCTGGAATATAAAATTAGAATTTCATAAAGATTGAAAAAGATATATGACATTTGTTAGACTAACGCGAAGCTACAGTTAATTTCTTCTTCAGAATACTTTCTTCATGTTTCCAACAGTTTCGAAGTTTGTAAACCCTTATCAGTTCAACCATTGCATGGGAGACTCTACTGCAATTTASTGTATTATATATTATTTTTTCTAGTAAAAATTGCAAAACCTCAAACTAAATGTAAGATAACGCTCTAAAATTTCACTAAAAATGCACTKAACATAGCGAATTTACGAAAATACGAGACCTTGAAACCGCAATTTTTTATTTTTGGAAACCCACAAACATTTTTGCATATCCGAAATTTGCATATAAATGCGTTTACTTTCACACGGTCAGCGCAGTTTTAAACTAGATTTTATAATCGAAAGTGCAACGATTCGCATAAAAGAGTACAGTCTTTCCGAACTCGTTTGCTAAGCTTCCGCCAGTCCACGCAGTATGGGCGACAAGTATAATCTCCTACTACTCTTCGATCGTCCGCACGAACCCGTGTTTATGGAAAAAGGKCGAGGAGTAGTGTTTGATGTGCCCAAGAAATTTCTCACCGATCGTTACCGAGTTATGGACAACGAAGTGTTGGAGCGATTTAGCGAAAGAGCTGAAAGCCTTGTAAATGTACGAGATATTTCCATGCCCGATCTGAGTTTACCATCGAAGTTGTCGCGTAAGGCACATTTTTCACTCTGCGTGCCGGCACATCGTATAATGGCGGCGCGTCTGATTGATACGTTCATGAGCGCGCCCACAGTCGATGAACTGCAGAGTGTTGCGGTTTATGCACACGATCGTCTYAATCCATATCTCTTCAATTATGCGCTGAGCGTGGCTATACTGCACCGCAAAGACACTAAAGGCATGGGTGTGCCTTCTTTAATACAGAGTTTCCCCAACAAGTTTGTCGATCGGCAAATTTTTCGATATTTACGCGAGGAATGCACAATCGTACCCGAAGGATCGCGCATGGCAATTCTAATACCACACGATTATACAGCATCGGAAGACGAACCAGAGCATCGTTTGTGGTATTTTCGCGAGGATTTTGGTGTGAACTTATATCATTGGCACCGGTATTTGGTGTATCCATTCGAGGCGAGCGAAAGCAGTCTTGTTTATAAGTCGCGTCGCGGAGAGCTCTTCTACTATATGTATCAACAGATCTTAGCCAGATACAATGTAGAGCGCTTGGGTAATGATTTGAAACGCGTGGAACCCTTAATAGATTTACGTCAATATATTAAGGAAGGCTACTTTCCCAAAATGGAGTCGGCACCACGTTTTGACAATACCAAACTTTCGGATGTGCGTCGCCATCAAGACCAACTAATTATGGATATTGAAGATTTGGAACAATGGAGCGAACGCATAAAAGAAGCTATCACAAATGGTTTTGTTTTAGATGTAAGTTTTCGTGAACTTCCAAGCTCTCAGCTCATAACTCTATAAATTTACAAATAACTTTTTTAATATTCACAGGAGARCGAAAAGCACATACCCCTCAATATYGATGTGCTCGGCAATATAATTGAGTCGTCCATGGCTTCGCCRAATCGCAACCTTTATGGTGATCTTCATAATATGGGACATCTATTCATCGCCTACGCTCACGATCCGTCACATCGTCATTTGGAGTCGTTTGGTGTTGTGGGTGATCTTGCTACAGCAATGCGCGATCCCGCCTTCTATAGATGGCATGCCTATCTCGATAGTATTTTTCAGCAACACAAAGCTCAACTGCCACCCTACACCAATGCGGAGCTGCGCCACGATGGCTTCTCCTTAACATCTGTGCAAGTCACAGCTGAAGATGTGCACGAACCCAATGTTTTGCAAACTTTTTGGCAGGAATCCGATATTGATCTATCACCTGGTATGGATTACGCGCCTCGTGGWAGTATTTTTGCGCGCTTCAAGCATCTACAACATGCGCCCTTCACGYATACAATCAAGGTAGTTAATGAGAGCGCCACAAAACGCTTTGGCCTGGTACGCATATTCCTCGGTCCCAAGTTCAATGAGCAAGATCAGACTATGACTTTCAATGAACAACGCTTGTTGATGATCGAATTGGATAAATTTGTGATAGCACGTGAGTAAATTTGTAGACGTAGAGAAATATGTATATACGTACAGCTTTAAACTTTTCCAGTACAACCCGGTGAAAATGTTATACGTCGTCGCTCCACTGAATCAAGCCTTACGATACCAATTGAGCGCACATTTCGAGAACTGACAGTGACTTGTGTGACTAACGAAACTAAGCAAAAAGCTTGTGGCTGGCCGCATCATATGCTCTTACCGAAGGGTTCAACCAACGGTTTGCAGTGTGAGCTCGTCGTTATGTTAACAAATTACGAGCAGGAGAGCGTAAGTGTCGTCGGTCAAATTAGCACTCGAGATCTCATGAATTTAATATATATAATTTTTTAGGGTGACAAAGAGCCCATCAGTGATGCTAACTCCTGTAGTAACCATCATCTCTTGCAACACGATCATCGTGCCTTGGGATTTCCATTCGATCGCCAGTCTCGTCTGGGTGCCGAACGCCTTGCTGACTTTCTCACTCCGAATATGATTGTTGCTGATGTCGTCATACGTCACGAAAATCGCACGGAACACTGTTGTTGAGTCGAGTTCCCTTATTAACACGTTATATATTTTCGTACAATATATATATTTAAGAAAATGCTTATTGTCTGTTTAATGTTCTGATCTGGAAAATCATATTGTGAAGTGATAGTTGGCAGATGGTATTTTTGTGTCG